CGATCTGCTCTACCTGCACTCACACAGATCTGCATGACTTGTCTTCATTCTTCCAGGGCTTTTGAAAAATCTGACATATGTATGTTAGCAAAGCAGCCTTAACATTTATTAGTAAAAGAGATTTCTATAAGGGGGCTTAGATTTACTTTTCCTCTGAAAAGCATCTTTAGAAATATCCTGCAATCTGCAGGAAGCCAAGGCTGAGCAGAAGAGAAAAGCACTTCCAAGTCTTCCAAACGAGACATGAATTACAGCCATCTTGACTGTTTGTTGACCTAAACTGGACCTGAACCTCTTGATCCAGGCTGAGCAATAGCCAGAACTGAATCCAAGCTCAAGCAGAAGGGATGTTGCTGACTGAATCCCAAAATGCTACAGTAGAATTGGAAACCAGCAGGAGCACAACTGTCCCGCAGAGTTTAGGAAATTGTACGTTTTTTCCTCTTCCAAAACCTGGAACTCGTGCAGTTTTACAGCTTCTGTAGGAAAGGACCTTGTGATAGATCCCATCTGTGCTGTAAGAAGTATTGTTTGGGGTGGAGAGCATCACTGTTCAGAGCAATTGATCCCTTGGGCATCTTCATGGGTGCCAGATTTAGAGCCACTGACAATGTCTGCTGTTTTAAATGTCAGGCACCCACTGCATGTACAGCTGAGTGTGGACCTGGAGGAAAGTGATTCTGCACAAACTGATGAGCTTTGTGACCCACCTCTTTGAACAATCCCCTTACGTGTGTTTCAGCCCAACGTGTGTGGAAGAAGTGTTCCACAAAGTTTTCCTGGTGAGTTACAGGAGTAAGTAACTGATGAGTTACAGGAGCAGCAGCATGTTATGATGGGAACATTCTGAGTCTTGGGTGGGAGAAATTTGAGGTAGCTGGAAAACTGTAAGGTCAGCAATGTTCTGGGCTGTTGCTTAATAAAAACATTCATCCAGGATGGTGCTATTGTGAGAATACTGATAGCAAAAGTACATAAATTGACACTAGCACTTCCAGTGTGGTTATCATTATGTAATTAACAGGCTTTATTTCTCGTGGTTTTTTGCTGTTTTTGTTCTGTTGTTATCTTATAGCTACTTTTATTTCAGATATATAGCAGCGAGAATCTTTCCACTCCCTGTGTGCTGTCCCATTTAGTTCCCACCATTCATTTCATCGCATCCCATACATGCCATTCTTCCACTGAGCTTGATTAATGCCAGTTTCTCTGCAGTCATTCCCTCAGCATGAGTAAGATGATGACCATATTTCCTCTTTATACAGGAGAGTATCAGGGCAGGGGATAAGGAGACAACTGGAATTGCTGAGGAAGAGAGCGAGGTACGTATGAGCAGCCTCAGGAATTTGGTTGTGCTTTAATATCTTCAAGAGGAGCGTGGCAAAAATATATATATATATATATATATATATATATATATATAT